ACTGAGTTCAAAGAAAGAGAGATGGAATTATCGATGCAGGATGATAGTGAAGAGGATTCAAATGAAACAAGACAAGGACTCCTACGCAGAGAATTTCAGCTTGCACAGAATAAATAAAGAGCTGATACGTAATCATAAAATGACTCATTCGTCTTGATTGGATTGATGACAGGGAATCGCTACAGTATAATTATGGGATGCAAGGGTAGCTGACATGGGGCCATAAAATGATTCATTCCCAAGAATGATGAGCTAAGTGCCGTCAATAGGAAAGAGTCACTTTGGATGGTGATTTACTTAGCTACTTATTCATCGTCTGTCCACACTAAATTGGCTACTAATAGCTTGACTACACATGGCAACGAAAAATAAACTAGCTTTCAAATTAAATATGCCTGAGTTCAAAGAAGGAGAGATGGAATTATCGATGCAGGATGATAGTGAAGAGGACTCAAATGAAACAAGACAAGGACTCCTACGCAGAGAATTTCAGCTTGCTCAGAATAAATATAGAGCTGATACGTAATCATAAAATGACTCATTCGTCTTGATTGGATTGATGACAGGGAATCGCTACAGCATAATTATGGGATGCAAGGGTAGCTGACATGGGGCCATAAAATGATTCATTCCCAAGAATGATGAGCTAAGTGCCGTCAATAGGAAAGATTCACTTTGGATGGTGATTTACTTAGCTACTTATTCATCCTCTATCCACACTAAATTGGCTCCTCTGTCATCATGGATGAATACAGTGCGTTTTGTCGACAGTAAGTCACTGACATATCACTGGAAAATGATTCGTTCTCAATAGGCTCTACCTCCTTCATTGAAAATGAACGACTTCAGAAAGACAGGTTAACTATTCTAGCATCTCCTATCTAACCTTGACCCTCATGTTATCCTTGATCAATAGTATGCATTTCGTCTAGTATCTGCCTAGTTCAAGCTGGGCGCAACTGTACTACTGTACGTACGTATGCGTCAATGAGGTCAAGAATCATTTCAACGGTAACATGTCCACTCTTCATTCGTCCCAAATCGATTGTCATTGGACTCTTCTGTCATCATGAATCATCTCAACATAGATAGGGTGGGCATGCAAAATGATTTATTCTTAATGAACGATATGCCATTGTATTATAAAAATGAGGGAAAATGAAAGATATGCCACTATATTATAAAAATGAGGGAAAATGAACGATGTGCCACTATATTTAAAAATGATTTATTCTTAATGAACGATATGCCACTATATTATAAAAAAGATTTATTCTTAATGAACGATATGCCTCTATATTATAAAAATGATTTATTCTTAATGAACGATATGCTACTATATTATAAAAATGAGGGAAAATGAATGATATGCCACTATATTTAAAAATGATTTATTCATAAGGAACGATATGCCACTATATTATAAAAATGATTTATTCTTAATGAACGATATGCTACTATATTATAAAAATGAATGATTTATTCTTAATGAACGATATGCTACTATATTATAAAAATAAGGGAAAATGAACGATATGCCACTATATTTAAAAATGATTTATTCTTAA